GGAGTGCACAGCTGCCTGCTTTCTCCCTCCTTCCTTCCCTGTCTCCCTTGCCACTCTTTCCTCTGCCCTGTCTGTGTAGCCCCAGTCAGGGCAGAGGGCAGAGGGCAGCAGGAACGAGCCCCCTGAGCCCAGGAGGCCGCATTATTCATGAGTGTGCTGTGTGTGCTGAGTTGCCTCTCCCTGGATGAGGGGGTGGGGTGGTCCTGGCTAACCTGTGCTCCCTTTTCCTGGCCACAGGAGCTGACACGATGAGTGACAGATGATTCCGTAAGCTTGGAGGTGAGCCTGGCAGCCGGGAGACTTCAGTTGCCACACTGTCACCGGGGGCGAGCAGCCGTGGCTGGGATGATGGTGACACCCGCAGTGAGCACAGTTACAGCGAGTCAGGTGCCAGCGGCTCCTCTTTTGAGGAGCTGGACCTGGAGGGCGAGGGGCACTCGGGGGAGCCACAGCTGGACCCTGAGACTGAGCCCCTGGGGTACCAAGTGGCCGTGGCAGCCCAGTACCCCTGAGAAGGGCAAGGAGTAATCTGTGGCCTGCACCCTCCTGCAGTGCCATTGCTGAGGAACTGAGCAGACTCTCCAGCACTCTCCAGCCCTCTCCTCCTTCTCCTGGGGGAGGAGGGGTTCCTGAGGACCTGACTTCCCCTGTACCAGGCCTCTTGCTAAGCCTTCTCCTCACTGCTTTTTTGGCTCCCAGGGCCAAAGAAGTCAGGGACTGTTTTCTGCACCAGCCCCCAGGGCTGCTGCCCCTGTTGTGTCTTTTTTTCAGACTCACATTGGAGCTTCCAGGACCCAGAATAAAGCCAATGATTTACTTGTTTAACCTAGATTTGGATTGTGTATTTGTTGTTAGTTCTGCCTTGGTGGGCAGGGGGGTCCCCATACAGATAGGCTGGGATTGGGCAGGAGCCTCCCCTCCCCAGGACAAGGAATGGAGAGAACATGGCAGGTACCCTGGTGTTAGAAATCCTCCATGTCCTGCTTCGTGACCCCAGTGGTCAACTACCCCTCAATTGCAGCTGCCAGAGAGCAAGCGGAGCTGGCTTGTGGGAGAGCTGAGCACGGGGCACCCTCCAGAACTCAGGAGTGGGGAGCTCACAGCCTGTCTTCGTCTGCCTCCAGGGGATGCCTCTCTGTCTGTGGCTCTAGTGTGCCTGCACGTGGTACCTCCCTAGCAGGCAAGGCTGTCTCATTGTGCCTGCCAGTGCCTGTGTACCTGTATGCGTGTGCACCCATGCTCATGCATTTGTCTCTGTAACCATGGATGGGGCTGCTTGGGTGAAGCTGTGCCCAGGTGAGCATCAGGGTGTGCTTGTAGCTGAGGCATGGCTGTGTCTGTGTGGCTGACTGTGCTTTGTGTCTGTGTATGGTTGAATATAGGAGCATGTGAGGCTGGCTAACAGCATCTCTGTGGGGGCTTTGTCCATATACAGCTGTGTGTGGCGGTGCCTGTACAGCTGTGTGTATGGTGATGTTCAATGATGTTCATGTAAAAAGCTATGTGTTTGCTATGTGTCTGCGTATAAAGGCTATGGGGCTCTGTGCAGCTGTGTATCCATAATTATGGCTGTGCACGTGTGGCCATGTCTTGGTCTACAGCTATCTGTGGTATGTCTATGTGAGCAGCTGTATATATGTGGCTGTGTCCACATGTGCAGTGGTGTGTAGGCATGTTCATAGGGGCAAGGGTTTGCCCATTTGTATTATGGCTGTTTGCAAGTATAGTTATGTGTTGGTTGCATGTGCATGTGTGCTATATATGTGGCTATGTATACATGTACAACTGTGTGTAAGGCTGGGTGTTACGTCCTCATCTGTGTGCACAGCTGGGAGTGGTGGCTGTCTAGCTGTGTGTAACTGCATTCCAGGTGCTGTGATTGTGCAGCTTGTTTGCTGCAGGCCACATCATGGGCTTTTTGGGCTGTGCTGTACATAGCCATATCTGTGTATACAGCCCCATGCCTTTTGTGGAGCTGATGTGTTGAGCAGGCTGGGAGTGTGGCTAGTGGGAGTGTGGCTGGGAGGAGTGTGTGACTCCTTACCTCAGCACCCTCCTGCTGTCAACCCCTCCTCTCCAGAGGCCTGGCCCATCGCTCACCTACCCCAGGGAGTGGTTGCTCTGAGGCAGCCAGAGAGGGTGAGAGCAGCCGGTGGCAGAGTTGAGGGGGAAGACAGCATGTCTGTCTCCCGCTACCACCTTGTCTCCTGTTAGTGATGGGGCTTGTGTTTATTTGGGTTTGATGTGTCCTGTTTTGTTTCAAAACTGTATTCTTTCACAGCAGTGGGACACCGGGTTTCTGTGTCCAGGGAAAAGGCTTGTCCTTGGTGATCATCCCTGCCCCCCCTACAGACTGCCACTTGCATATGTGGGGGTGTGTCCCTGAGGGCTGGGCTTGGCATGTTCTTTATCATGTATCTGAGCTGGCCTTGCTTCCACCGACACCTGTGGAGGAAGGGCAGTGTCAGGGGAATGTGTGTAGGGATGCCATGCCCCTTGGCACTTGTTAGTATGTGTACATGTTAGGGCAGATAGCACAGTCTCTTTAATCCCCATCCTTCAGCACAGTCTGGCACTACAGCTTACCCACTACCCTCTAACCAGGGGTGTCCTTCCCCATACTGCTGTGGGAGGGAAGAGTCAAGAGCATCTTCTCAGAGCTGTCCTCCCTCTGCTTGGGCTCCAGCTTTCACTCCCTCCTACGCAGCAGCCAGTTCCAGAAGTCTTTCCCCAGGCCCCTCCCCTTCCAAATCCCCCTGCCATCCATAACACTCCCTAAGGGTTGACCCTAGTACTTGGTTCTGCAGGTTGCTATCTCCTTGCTTAAATACCCTTTTTACATGGGAGTAAAAAGGTGGCAGGTTTTAAGGGCATCTGCAGGAAGGAAGGGGACCCCCCCACTCTCCTCTGACCTCCCTTCCCAATCTTTTCCTCCTAATGAGGCTCCAGCTCAGGCTCCAACTCTCAGAAGGGGCTGAGGACACATGCCACCAGCTCAGGCCTGGGATGTAGATCCAGCGTGGTCATTGGGTGGGGAGAATAGACTCCGCCTGTTTCCCACGTGCCCATTTACCTGTTCCCCAGAGGTACCCCTTGACTCTAGGGCCAGCTCCTCCACTCTGCAGTAGCACTATGTGCACCTGTTGGGGCGCAGTGACCTTCCTCACACCTTGCCCCATGGCATTCCCCCTTCCCCCACCTGTACTCTCCAGGTGGTAGTCTGATAATGGGGCGGAGTGGCCACCAAGCACCTGCTCCCCAGCACAGAGGGAGAGCGCTCGGAGATTCAGCACCAGGATGTGACAGCTCCAGACCCAGAGGTCCCAAGAAGAGCTGGAGCGTGGAGGGTCCAGAGGCTGGCGGAGGCAGGGTTGGGAGCTGGAGACCTGGAGTCAGAGTAGGGAAGAACGGAGGAGGGGCTGTGGGGCGGGCCGGGCCGGGGCCAGGGCCGGGGCGGGCCGCGATTGAAAGCTGCGGGGCGAGCGAGCGGGCGGAGAGTGCAGAGCCAGCTAGCAAGGGAGCGAGCGGGAGCCAGAGCCCCGCGTCCCCCGCCCGCTCCACTCCGATTCTCTCCGCGCCAGAGCCGAGCGCACCAGGTAGGGTGAGCCGGTGGTGCCGCTACCGCTTGCCAACCTTTTTGGCCCTGACCTCACGTCCCAGGCCCTGCAGGCCCTTGAGTTGTGGGGGCGCCCACGCTGGGATGTCCAGACAACGCTCCCTGGGAGCTCCGGGAAGCGGGGAAGACAGCCCTGGGCGTCCCGCCTTTCTTCCCAGAAAACGCACGCTCGGAATAGCGCTTCCCGGTTGCTCCTGCTCCAACGTCCTCTGGTCCTTCTTTCTGTTTGTGCCTCCGTCTTTGTCTCAACCTCTCAGCCGTTCTCTCCTGCCCAGATTTTGTGGCCCAGGTCCCTGCCTGCCTGACTCCGGGTTTCTGTCCCTTTCCTTCCTCTGAGCTTCCGTCTGGGCCTCCCCTGTGGGAGGCTTGCGACTTGACCAGTTTTGGCCTCAGCCCCCACCTGGGTCCCTGTCCCCATCTGCGCTGGTCTTCCTTCCTGCTTCTCCTTCGCCTGCCTGTGTGAGCTGCTTCTTTCCTGATCCCCAGAGGAGCCCAGTGCCCCTGCCTGGGAGCTGAGGGAGCAAAGTGAGGAGCCCTTAGCCTCTGTGGCCGCACATGGGGGTCCTTGAATGAGTTGCTGCCCTTCTTCAAACTCAGTTTCCTTTCCTGTTCTGAGGAAAGAGGTGTAGCCTCTCCCAGCCTTTCCAAGCCTGTGCGATTGTGAGAGCCTTTGTGGGGTGTGTTTGGGAAGGCAGCTGGAGTACACATGATAGGCTGCAGGGGGGAAGAGACAGGGATGGGGTTTCTGAGGTCATGGCTAGGGTGGGCAGGTCCCTGAAGCTGAGGATGGAGAGATTGGAAATGGTGACTTTCTCTGCTGGGTATGGAGTGAAGAGAAAACAAAGGCACAAAGTCTCAAACAGCATTCTACATAGAGCTAGGGAGTCCCACACTCTCACCCTCAGCACTGTTTGGAGACTCTATCCCCCAACTCTGACACACACGCTGCTTGCCCTGTTGACTTATGACCTTTGACCACTTGGGTACCCTCCCTGGGGCCAGCCTTTCTACGTTGCTGTCTCATTCCCAGGGCTTAGGGTCTCTATCCCTTCCTCAGTTAGGACACTGTGGGGATGGCTTTTTAAGAACCAAAGGCTAGGATTCTTGGGTGTTCACATAGGCTCATCTCCCCATGGGTTGGAGACTGTCCCTTAGAGATTCTTCCCTGATGGGTCCTTTATTCTGGAAATCCAAGGCTCAGGATGGAGACCTCTGAGTTGTAACTCTGACATAGACTGTTCCAAAGGTATTGGCCTCGTGATCCTGGGAAGTTTGTGCTGGTCTTGGACACCCTTTGATTTACAGAGGGGTGAGCATTGGCTGGGGTCTCCTGTCATCTGCCTGGGCCTTCACTCTTTGCATCCCTCCCCACTGCTGGTTTGGTAGGGGACTAGGCCCCATCTCTTGCCCAGCTGAGACCAGGGCTGAGAGATAGGCCCAGGGGAGTCCCAGGAGCTTCTCAGCCTAGTTCATGAAACCACCCTGTCCCTGGCTCCTGAGTACCTAGGAAAGGCAATTGGGGGGAGGTGGAGTCAGAAGGGGCAGCTGCTCTCAGGTTCCACTTTTCCTGGTCTGTTTGTCTATGTTTCTATCTCTGCAGGAGCTGGGTCCTTCTCATCTCTCTTCTTGTCTGTCCTTTACTGGTCCCTGTTTCCTCCGCTCTTTGCCTTTGCTGCCTCTAATCTTATCCCCCCTGAGATCCAGGTCTGCTGGACCCATCCATCTCCTCTGGGGCCATGGGATCGCTGCTTGGGCTCCTGGCACTGCTGCGGCTGTGGGGTGCTGTGGCTGAGGGCCCAGCCAAGAAGGTGCTGACCATGGAGGGAGACTTGGTGCTGGGTGGGCTGTTCCCAGTGCACCAGAAGGGTGGCCCGGCTGAGGACTGCGGTCCTGTCAATGAGCACCGTGGCATCCAGCGCCTGGAGGCCATGCTTTTTGCACTGGACCACGTCAACCGTGACCCGCACCTGCTGCCTGGCGTGCGCCTGGGTGCGCATATCCTCGACAGTTGCTCCAAGGACACACATGCCCTGGAGCAGGCACTGGACTTTGTGCGTGCCTCACTTAGCTGTGGTGTCGATGGCTCACGCCACATCTGCCCCAATGGCTCTTACGCCACCCATGGTGATGCTCCTACTGCCATCACTGGTGTGATTGGCGGGCTCCTACAGTGATGTCTCCATCCAGGTAAGTGGAGGTCCCCAAGTGGGGCTAGGGAGGGAGGCCAGAGATGGTGACCTAGAATTCCTGCTGAAAGGGATTCAGGATGCTGTGCATTAGAAGGGAACTAGAAGCTTCCTTTGCAGTAGCTTTTACAGAAGCTAAGAAAGTGCCCCAATCACATAATGGCAGTTGATTTTTAGAGACTGTGCAAGAGAAGAACATCTTACTCACACTCCCACTACACACACACACACAACACACACACACACACACATACCATTATCCTTGATGTTAAACAGCCCTGAGGGGCCTTATAGCCAGGTCTCTGGAGTCAGGCTTCTGGGTTTGAATCCTGGCTTTCCCAGTTACTAACTGCCTGACCCTGGGCATGTTATTTCTCTTTTCCATGTCATAGTTCCTTCCTTATGAAATCAGATTCACAACACTTTTTTTTTTGAGACAGAGTATCACTGTCTCCCAGGTTGGAGTGCAATGGCGTGATCTTGGCTCACTGCAACCTCTGCCTCCTGGGTTCAAGTGATTCTCCTGCCTCGGCCTGCCAAATAGCTGGGATTATAGGCAAATGCCACCACGCCCAGCTAATTTTTGTATTTTTAGTAGAGAGGGGGTTTCACCATGTTGGTCAGGCTGGTCTCAAATTCCTGACTCCAGGTGATCTACCCACTCAGCCTCCTAAAGTGCTGGGATTACAGGCATGTGCCATTGTGCCTGGCCCGAAACGCTTTCTACTTTTAGGTTTACCACGGAAATTTAATGAGTTGATCCGTGCCCAATATGTATCAGGGGGCCTGGCAAGTCATAAGGGCACAGTTGATATTAGCTGCTGTTATTTTTAACTCATTTTATAGATGAGGAAACCGAGACTCAGAGAGAGAGAGAGGTGGGGCCACATTCAAGGCACTGGTGGAGGGGAGCTGTGGAATCAGCTCTGGGCCAAGGGCCTCTCCTGGTTTGTCAAATCATCTCTGCCTGAATGGGAGAAGGGTGGCCAGATAGAAGCCAGGAGTGGCCAGAGGAGAAATTCAGGGTAGGGGAGTCAGGAGGAAGATAAACAGAATGTGTGTCGGGGGAGGGTACTGGAGAGTCTTCAGGGGCACAGGATTTGAGGGTGTGGGAAGGGTGGGGAGCCAGCTCCCCTGCCCTCTGCCTCCTACTCTCCCACAGGTACCAGAAGAGGGTGCCCTGTGGCTCAGCTTCAGCAGAGGCTGCTGGCCCCACTGGCACCCCTCTGCTGCTCCCAGGGCTGTGCCCAGCTCTGATCCTCTTACTCTCTGACTGGGGTCCTCGCTCTCACTCAGATTCCCACTTGCCCAAGTGCCCAGCACAGGCTGCTGGAAGATGTGGCTGGAGCTAGAATCAGGGCTGGGGACATAAGTTGGCCTTGGCTGGGCCTCAGCTTCCTTTAGGAGAGTGAGTGATGCCATTGCCGTCAGGGAGAGGGACAGGCCCCCTGTCCTGCAACAGTTGTTCAGGAGAAATGGAGCAGAAGGAGGAATCAGAATCCTGGAGTCAGCTTCTGGCCTGGGGTTGGGGAGGCCTGGGCGGCTCCATCCACTGCTGGGAGTAGATTATCTGTCCTGCTAGTCCCAGTCACCGGAGATGGCTAGGTAGCAGCCTGGGAAGATGTGGTTATGCTAGCATCTACATCTGCAGCTCTGGGTGGGGGCAGGGATGAGTGGGTGGCCTCCTACCTACTGCTGTCTTCCAGGGCCTCTGCTGATGTCTTCTCCACAGACCTCTTTAGGGCCCATGCATTTATCTCCAGGAGTCCAGTTATCTCCTTGCCATCCTGAGCAGCCTGCCTCCTGGAGCAGGGCCCACGCCTCTGCAGCGGTCTGCTTCTCCCTTGTCCTGATCAACACAAGGCTAGCCCGTCACCCATAGGCTGCACCTGCCTGTTAATATTTCCCCTCATGACTACTCTCCTCTCTTGCCCATGTCCCTATCATCTTCCCTTTGCCAGGCACTGTGGCCTCCCATGCATGATCATTTTTATCCTCTCAGCAGCCTTGTAGGTCAGGATATGAAACTGAGGCTCAGGGAGGTTTGCCAACTCCAGGGGCCCAAAGGTAGAACATGTGGGGTGGGGGGAGACGCTGAGCCCTAGACTGGTCAGAGCCATAGCCTGTATCCAGTTGCAACACAGGACTCATCCCTGTGCCATAGAATCTGGGCCATGCTCTGCTTTCACCTGCCCACCCTCTACCAGGCCCTTGGCTAGATCCCACTCCTGTGGGACCTGAGGTGGGCAATGGGGTGCCGGGCAGTCCGTGGTAGATCAGGAACCTTGTTTATTTAAGACTTGGGTATCCAGTGGAGACCAAGCCTTGGACTATTAGGGTTATGGGACCCTGAGATCTGGGTCTTTCTTCTTAGGGGAACCTTTTTCTTCTTTCTGTATCATTCCATCAGATTGATTCTGGGGAAGCACTACCTACCCTCAAATAGGTAGAGAGCAGAGGAGCCCTGAGCAGCCAGACACCATCTTGCGCCTCCCTCTGCCCCAGCGTAGACAGGTGTCAATCTCCTTCCACCCAGGCCTTCCCTCAGCCCCCCTGCCACGTGTTTAAAAGGGGTTGGCAGAGGGGATCAGGTGTGGCTCATGACCCTGGTGTCTCAGCCCTTCGGAAGAGAGAAAAAACTCCCTGCCCCAGAAAGAAGACTGTCAAGTTAGGGTGCAGCCTGTAGAGAGGGAGCCCTTAGGGCTGAGCCTGCAGACACTTGACACAAGACCTGCTAGCTGTGTGGGGTGCACCTGTCTCTTGCGTTCGATCCAACCTCCGATCTTTGCCTTCTCTACTCCTGCCCCAGGTGGCCAACCTCTTGTGGCTATTTCAGATCCTGCAGATCAGCTACGCCTCCACCAGTGCCAGGCTGAGTGACAAGTCACGCTATGACTACTTTGCCCGCACAGTGCCCCCTGACTTCTTCCAAGCCAAGGCCATGGCTGAGATTCTCCGCTTCTTCAACTGGACCTATGTGTCCACTGTGGCATCTGAGGGTGACTATGGCGAGACAGGCATTGAGGCCTTTGAGCTAGAGGCTCGTGCCCGCAACATCTGCGTGGCCACCTTGGAGAAAGTGGGCCATGCCATGAGCAGTGTAGCCTTTGAGGGCGTGGTGCGAGCCCTGTTGCAGAAGCCCAGTGCCCGCGTGGCTGTCCTGTTCACCTGTTCTGAGGATGCCCGGGAGCTGCTTGCTGCCAGCCAGCGCCTCAATGCCAGCTTCACCTGGGTGGCCAGTGATGGCTGGGGGGCCCTGGAGAGCGTGGTGGCCGGCAGTGAGAGGGCTGATGAGGGTGCCATCACCATCGAGCTGGCCTCCTACCCCATCAGTGACTTTGCCTCCTACTTCCAGAGCCTGGACCCTTGGAACAACAGCCGGAACCCCTGGTTCTGTGAATTCTGGGAGCAGAGGTTCCGCTGCAGCTTCCGGCAGCCAGACTGTGCAGCCCACTCTCTACGGGCAGTGCCCTTTGAGCAGGAGTCCAAGATCATGTTTGTGGTCAATGCAGTGTACGCCATGGCCCATGCGCTGCACAACATGCACCGTGCCCTCTGCCCCAACACCACCTGGCTCTGTGATGCCATGCGGCCAGTCAATGGGCGCCGCCTCTACAAGGACTTTGTGCTCAACGTCAAGTTTTATGGTAATGGTGCTGGCCAGTGTCCACTGGTCTGCTGGCTGTCAGAGGATGAGGGGAAGCAGGTCTTCAGGTTCCATTCCTTTGCTAAGGAAACAGTATAGTGAAAGTAAAGGACTCACCCAGAGGCAGCTGGCATCAGAGCCAGAGCAAGGATGCTAGGCAGAGAAGACTCCAACTGCAGCAGGGGCTGAGGGTTCACTTTCTTCCAGAGTAGACCTCTGGCCTGGTCCTGCCATTTTGAGGGTCTCTGGCTCCTCCCTGGGCCTTGCCTTCTACCTTCTGTCTCCTTATCTTGCCAGGGGTGGAGACCAGGAGACCTCAAGCAGCCCATTCTCAGGCAGCAGTGAGAGTCAGAATCCGGCTGGCTTGAGGGTGAGCATCAGGATGACACTATCTATTCAGGGAAAATGTCTCTTTCTTTCCTTTCTTTCTTTCTTTCCTCTTTCCTTCTTTCTTTTTTCTTTCTCTCTCTCTTTCCCCTCTCCCTCCCACTTTCTCTCTTTCTCCCTTTCTCTCTCTTTCTTTCCCTCCTTTCTCCCTCTTTCCTTCCTTCCTTCCTTCTTCCCTCCCTCCCTCCTTCCTGCTTTCTTTCTTTCTCTTTTTTATTTCTATTTCTCCTCTTTCTCTTTCTCTCCTTCCTCCCTCCCTATTTCCTTCCTTCCTTTCTCTCTTTCTCTCTCTTTTCCCTCCCACCCTTTGTCTCTTTCTCCCTTTCTCTCTCTCTTTTTTCTCTTTCTCTTTCTCTCCCTCCTTCCTCCTTCCCTCTCTCCCTCTCCCTCTCCTTCCTTCCTTCCTCCCCCCCTTTCTTTCTCTTTCAATGGGGTCTCACTATATTGCCCAGGTTGCAGTGCAGTGGCTATTGACAGATTCACAGGCACAATACCACCTCCAACTCCTGGGCTCAAGCAATCCTCTTGCCTCAGCCTCCTGAGTAGCTAGGATGACAGGCATGTAGCACTGCGCCTAGCTTCAGGGAAAATTTCTATTCCTAGTCTTGGTTTTCCACTCAAGGTGGCCTGAAAGTCTCCCAAAATCAAAAGTTATTTTAACAAAAGTACCAGCTTTAAGAGGAATGAGCGCTGTAGATCATCACGATGCTTCAGGAAGAATCACCGTGGGAACAGTGGGAGACAAAGCTTGGAAGCCCTGGCCCAGGGTTAAGATGAAGAGTAATTCCAATAGAACTGACATTCAGACTTATGCTACAATCAGGGTAGGGGTTAGGGTTGGACTCGGGTCTGATTGGGTTGTTGGAGCAAGGCTAAATTCAGCCTGTTTGGCTTGGGTGGAATTTACAGTAGGGCTAGAGTTGGATTTTGAGAACTTTGAGGCTGAGTAGAAAGAGTAGGTGCTTGAGGGGACCTGGGTTTGAATCTAGGCTGGTCCTTCAGCACATCTTCTGTTTTCTTGAACTTTGATTTGTCACTGGGGCTGAGGATGGTTGTAAATCCTGGCTAGAGCCTGGTTGGGAGATGTGGGGTTCATGGGATGAAGTCGGGGTGGAGAGGAAGTGGTTGCAGGTGATGACCACTGAGGTTGGGATTCAGTTTGCACCAGAGTGGCTGTTAGAACTGGGGGTGCTGCCCCATGTTCTCACTCATAGGTGGGTGTTGAACAATGAGAACATGTGAACTCAGGGAGAGGAGCATCACACACTGGGGGCAGTTGTGGGGGGTAGGGGAGGGACAGCAGTGGTTGGGGAAGGTGGGGGGGTGGGAAGGGAAAACATGGGGAGAAATGCTGGATATAGTATACACCTAAAGTAAAATTAAAAAAGAAAACTTAGTAGAACTCCTCACTACCTAATACTATAATACTATTCTATATAACTAGGATTAGGTATAGTATTTTAATCTTTAAAAAGAAAAACTTTTAAAATAAATTAAGTAAATTAAAAATAAAAAGAACTGGGGGTGCTGGAGCCAGAGTTGTTGTTAGGGTTAGTGGGGACAGGATTGGAACTGAGACTGGGTTTAGCCTTAGCACTGAGTCAGGGGAGAGGGCTGTGGTGTATGTTTTGATGAAGTTGGGATTTGGGGCCGGGGTTGGAAAGTGTTGGATAGTACTAAAGTTGAATTTGGGGAGTCACGGTTGGAACTGATGTGGACCTTAGGTTTCTGGAGATGTCTGGGCTTTAAGGCTGGGATTACACTTGGCATTTAAGGTTGGGGTTTGAGGTTGGAGTTTAGGGGTAAGACTTTGTTGTCATCTCTCTGTTAGAAAAATGACTGGGGTCAAGGCAGGATTTAGTTTTGGGTTAAGGATTGGAAGGGCTAATGGTGGCCTCAGCTCTGGTGGTTGGGTTTTATGTTAGGGTGGATGTTGAGGTCACATCAGGGTAGCACACCAGTCCAACCGTCTCTTCCTTCCCTCCCCATCCTAGCCCCCTTTCATCCAGCTGACACCCACAACGAGGTTCGCTTTGACGGCTTTGGTGATGGTATTGGCCGCTACAACATCTTCACCTATCTGCGTGCAGGCGGTGGGCGCTATCGCTACCAGAAGGTGGGCTACTGGGCAGAAGGCTTGACTCTGGACACCAGCCTCATCCCATGGGCCTCACCCTCAGCCGGCCCCCTGCCTGCCTCTCGCTGCAGTGAGCCCTGTCTCCAGAATGAGGTGAAGAGTGTGCAGCTGGGCGAGGTCTGCTGCTGTCTCTGCATCCCGTGCCAGCCCTATGAGTACCGATTAGATGAGGTCACCTGTGCCAGTTGTGGCCTGGGCTACTGGCCCAATGCCAGCCTGACTGGCTGCTGCGAACTGCCCCAGGAGTACATCCGCTGGGGCGATGCCTGGGCCGTGGGTCCTGTCACCATCGCCTGCCTGGGTGCCCTGGCCACCCTCTTAGTGCTGGGTGTCTTCGTGCGGCACAATGCCACCCCAGTGGTCAAGGCCTCAGGTCGGGAGCTCTGCCACATCCTGCTGGGTGGTGTTTTCCTCTGCTACCGCATGACCTTCATCTTCATTGCCAAGCCATCCACGGCAGTGTGTACCTTACGGCCTCTCGGTTTGGGCACTGCCTTCTCCGTCTGCTACTCAGCCCTGCTCACCAAGACCAACCGCATTGCACGCATCTTTGGTGGGGCCCGGGAGGGTGCCCCGCGGCCACGCTTCATCAGTCCTGCCTCACAGGTGGCCATCTGCCTGGCGCTTATCTCGGGCCAGCTGCTCATTGTGGTCGCCTGGCTGGTGGTGGAGGCGCCGGGCACAGGCAAGGAGACCGCTCCCGAACAGCGGGAGGTGGTGACGCTGCGCTGCAACCACCGCGATGCAAGTATGCTGGGCTCACTGGCCTACACCGTGCTTCTCATCGCGCTCTGCACGCTTTATGCCTTCAAGACCCGCAAGTGCCCCGAAAACTTCAATGAGGCCAAGTTCATTGGCTTCACCATGTACACCACCTGCATCATCTGGCTGGAATTCCTGCCCATCTTCTACGTCACCTCCAGTGACTACCGGGTGAGCTACCTGCCATAGAGGTGGAGGGAGGTGGGACACCAGACCCTCTGTTTCCTGGTATCTTATTTAATCTACTGGTAGCTCTGGGGCTCCAAGAGGTTAAATGGCCACTCAGGGGACAGCAGCTTGTGTGGATCTCAAGGGGAAGGTGGGAGGGCTGAATAGGGCCTAGGGAAATGCCCAGGGAGATGGGGAACTCGAATTACGGAGAGCTGAGATTTCAGGATGTGCATGTCATCCTCTAGCCTGGGAGGAGATGGGGGGCAGAAATATGTTCAGATGAACGGGGTTCTGCCCTGCTCCACTGAGGGGTTCTTCAAGCAGACAAATAGTATTATAATGATTACAAGACTGATCATCAGTTATGCTTTTGCAAAAAACAGCTACAAAGGACTAACTCAGTGGACCAACCTTTGTTTCTTCATTATCTCTACCTGGATTCTGGCCTTTTATTTTCTCTTTCTACTAATTCTAATTCTGCTTCTGCTTCTCATTTCTTCCCCAGTTAGAACTTTATTTACCTAAACTACCTGTTGTCCCCTTCTCAGAGCCACTAAGCAGCAGTTTGAGGTTGACAATTGAAGAATTAGGATTAGAAAAAAGAAACACGAATGACCTTTTTGTGTTTCATTATCAGGGGTTTGTAATGCAGGTAAAAAGACCTTTTTCAGAGTTAAGATTTTGATACAAAAAATAAGCTATTTTAATATTTATAACTTTGACTAGTAGAATTTTTGTATAAAAACATTTGTTTGGATGTCTTTGTTAGCGTTGAGTGGACACTGGAAAAGCCTCTTCTAACAGGTTCTATGTCTTTCTGGATACGCTTTTCAGTATTCTGATTCCACTAGACAGTGACAAGAGGGAAGCATTGGTGGTTCAGTGGTAGAATTCTCGCCTCCCACGCGGGAGACCCGGGTTCAATTCCCGGCCAATGCAGTTGGGCTTTTGAGCTTCACTTCCCTTATGGCTGCTTTAACCCTTCTGCCCAGCAAAATTATACCGCATACTCTAATAGTGCATTTAGAGGCTTCATCACCGAAAGGTAAACTGACCAAGGTCGTGCCAAAAGACATTCCGGGGACTAACCTGGGACCCCTGCAGTCGTTGGACTCCACAAACCATTTAGCAAAGTGGCAAATACGAAGTATTTCTGGCGAGTCACTGCAGTTTTGATATTGGTACCTGTTACCTTCATCTATTTTCTGGGTGGATCCCTGCAAACCCAAGAAACCATCAGGTTCCTGATTCGCGTGCTGGACCTTGGGCTTCCCGCTGAGCCACAATGCTGAGGATCAAGAAATGATGCTCGGGGAAGGAGAGAAGCTGTGGGCGGGGCAGTCACCTCAGAGGTCCAAGAAGCTCAGCGGCCCAAAGAAAGAAGTGTGTGGGGGAGAATCTACGCGGAGCTGCGGGGAGCTGTGGAGACTGGTACTAGTGCAGGGGACCCTCGGGGCTGTACCCCAGACACCAAGAACCGAACTTGCTAACATCGTCAGCTACCGGGGCCTCCGAGTGTTTTGTGGGCCCATGGTGTTCCAGGAGGGGTTCCGGAATCTGTGTCTGGAAATGTGTGTCAACAGGTTTTGGCCTGAAATTTGGCCTGGCATGGGGGCTTGGGAGGCTGAGACGGATGGATGGCTTGAGGTCAAGAGTTCAAGACCAGCCTGGCTAACACGGTGAAACCACATTTCTACTAAAAATACAAAAACTAGCCGAGTGTAGTAGTGTGCACTGGTTATTCCAGCTACTTGAGGCTGAAGCAGGAGAATCGCTTGAACCCAGCAGGTGGAGGTTGCAGTGAGCCAAGATGGGGCCACTGCACCCAGCCTGGGCAACAGAGTGAGCCTCTGTCTCAAAAAAATAGAAAAGGTGTTGGCCCGAAAATTACATTTATATTTATTTTTTATTTTTATTTTTATTTTTTTAAAGAGACAGGGTCTCACTGTTGCCCGACTGCATTGCAGTGACGCACTCCTAGCTCACTGCTGTCTGGAACTCCTGGGCTCCAGTGATCCTCCCACCTCAGCCTTTGGAGTAGCTGAGATTACAGCTAAACCACCATGCCTGGTCTGAAAAATATATTTGTAATACAGGAAAGCAAAGAACGGAACCTGGGAACTGTTTATCTTGTTGTGTTGTGAGGATGTTACTGTGTTAGAGACACAACAAATGACAGCAGGTGATGAATTTCCTTCCAAAGAGTTTACTCGGATCCTGGGCTGCAGGGCACCGTGGCTTCAGTGCACCTCTGCCCTTAAGACTATTCAGAAACTGTCTCTGTGAGGCCAAGAGGCTGTGTGAAGATCAGCAGTTTAGGGCTCGCCTGCAGCTTGCAGTCAGGCGGCAGCTGTGTTCTGGATCTCGTGGGCGCCTGCATGCACACCTCTCCGGGAAATTTCTACCTGAATTCTTAAGGCATTTCCAGTGGCTTAGCTATCTCTTTCTTTTGCTTACTGCCACACACATGCCACCAAATCCTGCACTCCAAGCTTCTCCTCCTGCACCCTGGACTCCCAACCTCCAGTTAGACCAGCTGCATCTTCCTGCACCTGCCTGAAGCTCCATCAGGCCACGGTGCCTCCCACAGCAAGCAGGCCAGGCGGAATCCGGATTCTTATTGCACTTCTGAGGAGGGTGGCCAGGCAGTGTGGAGGATGCGGGTGAGAGGGGTAAGGTTGAGGGCAGGAGTACACTGCGGGCTCCTGTCTTTGCCCTCACTGGCCCAGGTGCTGCCCACTCTCTGGTTGTCTGCCTTCAGCTCTGCATGGGAAATCAGGTCTGCACCTTGATCTTCCTGACTTGTCATTTTGTGAGGAGCCTGAAGGGATGAGCTGTTGCTCTTGTTCCACACATTCTGTCCAAAAGGTGCCATCCTCTCTACTTGCTCTAGGGCCTGCCCATTGAGCTCTGGCGCTCAGGCTGGGATGCTGCCCAGTATAGAGGCTCTGCAGCCTCTGTTCTGACTGTCCCACACAAGCAAGACAAAGGCCACAGGGCACTCTGTGGTGGGACAGCATTCAGAGGCGTGGGCCAAAGGCCTCTCTTTCCACAGTCCCTTTGCAGACCTCGTGGAAGAGGCATCCCTTTGAGGAGCAATGTGGCCCAAGGCCTGGCTTCACATGCAGGCTCTTGGGTCCAGTGGGTCCTCCCTGTGCCTGGTATAGCCAACTGCTCCACACATCTCACCTGATTTTTCCTCCTCCACCACCTGAGCTCCTCCTCCACCCCCTTGCTCTGCTGTCCTTAGGACAGCAAGATCCCAGGCCCTTGGTAAAGCCCCATCCCCAGTGTTGGGGGAAAAACTTGGGTCCAGGTCATTTAATCCCAGAAGAACAGAGAACCTGAAGCAGGAAGGAATCCTTTCCCTTGTGGAGGTCTCTTAGCACAGCCCATCCAGGGGCCTGGGTCAGGGTCCAGATATCCTCTACCTTCCTTAAGGGCCTGGGTTTTCAGGCCCCCGTGGTTGGTCAACATAAAGTCTTTCCCATTCTTCATCTGGGAACTGTAGGAATATCGCATGGGGCCCTCTCTTACCCATTAGAGATACCCAGAAAATAGTAAGCCTTAAAGTCAGATAGTGCAAGTCCTTGTTTTGCTCTTTTTCACACAGGGCAATAAATTTTGAAATAGGTAATAAGTCATGAAACCCTCACACACATCGGGATATGCTGTCACTTCCTCCCTCTCTGATATGTTTGGCTGTGTCCTCACCCAAATCTCAACTTCAATTCATCTCCCAGAATTCCCATGTGTTGTGGGAGGGACCCAGGAGGAGGTAATTGAATCATGGGGGCTGGTCTTTCCCGTGCTATTCTCCTCATAGTGAATACGTTTCACTATCTGATGGGGTTATCAGGTGTTTCCGCTTTTGCTTCTTCCTCATTTTCTCTCGCTGCTGCCATGTAAGAAGCGCCTTTTGCTTCCCGCCATGATTCTGAGGCCTCCCCAGCCATGTGGAATTCTAAGTCCAATTAAACCTCTTTTTCTTCCCAGTCTCAGGTATGTCTTTGTCACCATCGTGAAAATGGACGAATACACTCTCATTTCAGAGTGGGACACATGCTCTCACTCACATATACTGGTTGCTGACTTGTGACCAAAGATTGTCTATTGCACCCTCTGGGGACAGTGGATCTCCAGGCGTTTGCAGGACGGATGAACTCGCAAAAAGTCCGCAACACTCGGCACAATCTGGATTTAGTCCCATTGGTCTGAATGGGACTAATACTTTTATAAAAGGGACCCCAGAGGGTTCTCTCACCCCCTTTCTGCCCTGATGATACAATGAGAAAGCGCCAGTCTATAACCAGAAAAGAAGTCCCTCGCCATAATCCTACCATGTTGGCTCCTTGATCTCGGACTTCCAATTTCCAGAACTGTGAGAACTAGATTTCTGTTGTGAGTTAGCCCCCCAGTGTATGGTACATTGTTACAGAAGCCCGAACTGAGACAGAGATGGAATCCCATGGACAGTCTCTAATTTACTAAGCTGGTCATCAGGTGGGATGTTGCCAGCTGGAAACAGGAAGAGCTGGCATTTTGTGCATAGGAAGGAAGATAGTGGACAGGCCCATTGTCGGCTTTGTCCGCCTTGGCAAACTGGAGACGGTGACTCAACTCACCTTCACCAGCCACGGGAACACTGGGAGGACCTCCAGAGGAGGTTAGGTCAACTAAATGGTAACTAGATCCTGCAACCTCATGGGATTTTTTTCTCTTCCCTTTGATCTCTCTTCTGCCTAACCAGTATGACGGGAGTCACACTTTCCCTTCAGAAAGGGATCCCTTTCGGACAGGACCGAAGTGGTCAGCTCTTTCCCCTAAAGCTTCTCTGCAGGCTCAACTGAAGAGACCTGAAGCTCCAGGAGAGGCGAGTGAACCCAGCCGTCTTCCCGGCTGGCCCTGGTCAATAGGCTCGGAAGAGGCCGATTTGGAGGACAGAAGGGAAGAAAAGACCTAAAGGTAGAATCTCATGATGTCCAGATGTCAAAAGCCTCAAATCCTAAGGTCCGACTGTGCGGGGGAGGGAGGGGATCTGAAGCTGGATGGACCCCCGAGCCTTCATCTGGAGAGTCCTCTGCACAAGCTCAGAGAGCAGGACTAGGTGCACCAATGGTTCTCAACAGGCGGCAACTTTGCCCTCACACCCCTCCCCCATCCCCGCTGGGACACTAGGCCGCGACTGGGGGAAGCCGGAGGGAGAACGTCAAGCCCCTGACATCCATCTGGTCAGAGGAGGCGGGGGATGCCGCTAAACACCCCAGATCCACCCAAGGGCCCCTCCCCCACCCCGCCCCGAAGTAGCTATTCCGCGGAGGTAGAGAAACTCCCATGTAGGTCATCAATGTCCACGCACTTGGCCGACGGGAAATCGGGAATTGGCGACCAATTGGATCTTGGATCTGAGGAAAAAACTCCAGCGTCAGAGGAAACTCGGGTTTTGCCCGAAGCATATGGAAGGGTGGCATAGCAGTTGCCTAAGATGGGAAAACGGCAGTTGTCGCAGGTTGCAGGGGGGAAGGTCAGAGACCAGTTCAGGGCCCCGATCCTTCCTGGAAAGTTTTCCATCCAGCCCGCCTCGGTTTCTGCATCCGTCTGAGCCCTTTATGATGCTGAGGGCATCCTGGTCTCACTCCGGGTCCCTCCCCGCTCCCGCCTCCTCCGGGTGACCTGGTGTGTGGCTCGGGCTCTGGCAACCTGCAGCCTCCTTTCCACGGGCTGCCGCCTGGCAAAGGCACATCTGTAGGTCAGTGGTTAGGTGTGGCCGGGAGGCTGCACCTCGCTCAGGAACTCGGGACTTGTGGCCTTGGTGGGCCTCGCTGAGCACTCATTGCGTTGCCTGCGGGCTCTTCTTTTGGAGAAAAGAGGGGACGGCCTTGTGAGAGGACTCCAGGAGCCATCAGGGACCCTCACAAGGCCGAAGTCCTCCCAGAGCACAGGGAAACTGTCACATCAGACCAACAACAGAAGAGAAAGTGCTGTTATGCGTCTCCCTGGTGGTCTAGTGGCTAGGATTCGGCGCTTTCACCGCCGCGGCCCGGGTTCGATTCCCGGTCAGGGAAGCTTTTGGCACCAGCCTTCCTCCCCCGGGGAATCTTCTTACTCCGCTGTCAGCTGGCCTGCTCCAAGGGCCAGATGCAGAAGTCTCCGCAGTGAGGTGCAAACCCTGGCGAAGGAGGCTAAGTCCCGGTGGACCGCCTCTCAAGACACCGCTCTGGCTTATCAGTTATCCGCGGAAGCGGCTTTAGAGAGATACTGAGGGTCTCACTCAGGTGTACCCAGCCGTGCAGAGATGCCAGCCCCCGCGGATCCACACACAAAAATCCCACCCTTTTTGCCGCCGCCGCCTGGGAGGCGCCGATGGGGCTGAGCT